GAAAAAATTGAATATTTCAAATGCCGCTATACGGAGCTAGGGTGCAATATTCCGGTCGTAACCTACGCCATTTTTTAGCTTTTGGCACACCAAAAAACACCCCGAAGTTTAGAAACGATCGGTGTTTCTCCAAGCGAACCTCAGCTATTACAAAACTCGAAAAATGGCGATTTTTGCGGTTTTTAGCAATATTCAAACGGCTCTATATCAGTCAATTTTGAAGCAATCAAAATTCTGAAAAAAGCAAATTAAAGGTCTTGAAAAGACCTTTAATTTGCCGGTTTCAAAAGTTAAATTGCTTCAAAATTGACTGCTGTAGAGCCGTTTGAATATTGTTGGAAATCCACAAAATTAGCTATTTACTTGAATTAAGCTCGAGATGTGGCTATCGTCGAAAACCTCGGGGTCAATTTTTTTTCAAAAAGTACTTTTTCAGACGAAAAAAATGAGCCCAACTACGTCTCTGAAAAGTCAAAACTCCGCTTTGTAGAATTTTTCGAAAATCGACAAAAAACAGCGAAAAAAACCACGTTTTTCGACACTCATTTGTCGCTTGGCACCTCCAAAAATTTTTTTCCGGGCTGAAACTTTAGGAAAAGTCTTTTTTTATGTTGTTTAATAACATATCTTTTTTTCAGATTTTTTTGAAATACCGCCGCGCACACTTTTTTAAAAAAGTAGGAGAATGACCCATATATTTTGTTATTTTTGGGCTTAAAAACCAAAAAGAAAACGAAATGAAATTTATAATTTTAACAAAAGAATGTATTGCACATCCACTTTCGTTGCTTATTGAACCATAATAAGTTCTTTTTCGTTCGTAATCATATATTTGTAACTGATGAGGTGCAAGTTTTCGAAAAATTAGGTAAACATTTCGAAAATCAGGTAAAAGATATTCAATGATTTAGGAACAAGTTTAAAATTGACTAATGATTCAATGTGGAATACAGTTAATATTCGACAGAATAAATTATTTTAAAAGATCATTGCTTCGATTTATATAAGTTTCGATACAGTGAATTTTTCATATTCCAGCATCGAAAAATAGGTTCTATTCATATTTTTTGGATCACCTCGCACTCATAAAAAAGAACTGCTTGTTAAAATATATCTTTCATTGTGTAATAAAAAATGTATTTTAATATGTAATGAAGAAAAGAGGAAAATATAATGAGAACAATTTGATAAATATTGAAAATAAAATGAACACATTACCTTCTTCCAGTGCATCGTCGCCATCGCTCATTAGTTCATCGTCCGAGCAAATGTTCAGTACGTTTACCAACATTTCTGTGACTGTAAGAAAAAGAATAACGTAGGACATAAAATAAATAAATGTATAATATAAAAATTGTGGTATTGATAAGAGCGAAAGAAATGTTTTCAAGGCTATAACAAATTTTTCAAGTACCTTTTTCTCCTACGAATGGCAATGACCACGTGAAAACGTCCATGAAATTTGGTAACCAGTACGGATGTGGCGAGCAATTGAATTGACGAATATTCATCACATTGTTTTCGTACTTGAGCACCGCGGCCTTTTGTAAAGAAAAATGATTAAAAACTGTATAAATAATGGAACTCTCTCCAAGAAATCAGATTCGATAATAATCAACTGGGATCGAATATTTTTTTTCACAAGGTTTCTCTTGGGATTGTTCCCCTTAACATGCATAACACAGAAGTAAATGGGGAGATGAAAAAGTATATAAGAACGGCAACAGAATAAGAAAATCTAACCTTGTTATTGTAGACGTCGAGATAGTTGGGCGCGCTGAATATGGTTATCAAGGATGGGAAGCCCGTCGTCTGTGACTTGCGGTACATACGATATCCGGCGTCTTGTGCCTCGTGTGCCCTAATGATACTTAACAGATTGTTGCTTTGAAGGAAGTCGCAGCACGCTGCATAACTATTGAACAAAAAAAGATAATAGGTCAAGTATTTGAATTTCTAACTCTTATTATTTATTCTCCTGGAAGTGCGTAACGCATTTACCAAAAGCGTTGAAGCAAATTGTTGAGAAAATGAATTGCAGTCTCGTAACGGAATTGAAATTTTTTCCCCCACAGATATTTGTCACTGTGCAGGGGCGTGCGTGAATAAGCCGAGCGCATGTGCGCGCCCGAATGAACATTTCATTTCGCGCCTTTTTTTTTTTAATCAAAAAACGTAGAGCAACTTTTTTTTGTCTGTCTCTTTCTCTCTTTGTGCCAAATGTAGGAATAAAGCACACAAATGCAGCGGAAGCAGAAACAGCATACAAACTACGCAACCTTGTATCCTTATCGAGCGAATAGAGGAAGAGCGAGAGAGAAAGGGAGAGAGCGATTACTAGGGTGCAAGTCCGACGGACTACACATATGGGTATATTATAACTAACCACGCATGGAATAGTTTATAAACAGTGAGAAAGAGAAAAATAGAGTGAAAATAGGAGGTATGCTGGAAGAAAATGAATGAATTCGAGGAGCAATGAAAATTGTTTATGGGACGATTCTCCGAGGAGTCGTTGAAATTTTCGCACATACGCGTAACATAACTTCATGTGAGTATATATCTTTTGCTCTCCCTTTTCTATCCCTCCCCTTTTTTCTCACTCTTTCTTTCAGCAGTTTATAAACTAACCCTCTTTTATGTAAATTCGTGACAATTTTCATTCTAAAACTTTAAACAATTTCAAACATTTAAATGTTGTACATCTGAATTCATTGGAACGCCGCAAAAATTAAGACAATTCTGGTAATAAATACATTTTTTATATAAAAAACCGCAAAGAATGTCTGTGTTTTATTATCATTAAAATTTAAATACAACTTAGAATAATTAATACTTGATAGCTCAAATCTGGTCGCAACATCAATTTATCGAAGGGCGTATATGAGCGTATTCCATGCAATTTTTTCATTGCAACCACACTGGGACGTACTTGAAACGCATTTTTATCTACAGCATTGACCGCTTGTTATAATGTAGATCATTAAAAACCGATAGTCCTAATAATAAAATGAAAATAATCAGTGCAGCAAGGACTAGGTATTGAGGCAAGAAAATTGTAATTTGCAACTCATATTACAAGCGAACAATCGTTGTTTTTCAAAAATTTTGGAATCTAAATCTATCTAAACAGGAAAACGCATTCATAGCTGTCAATAATTTGAATAAGTGATACATGAATGCAATCGCTTCGATTTATGGTTCAGTGCTTTTTTTTTACCTTTTCAAGAATGAGATCATAAATCACACGAATACGCGAGCGATATATGCGAGTTTAATTAATTGAAATTGTTTTCAATCTGCAAGTTAAGCTTCAATAAAAAGAAAATAATAATTACAAAAAAAAATACAATATTTCCCTTTCAAAATTTGAATATTTATATAAAAGATCTTACCTGTAGAAATACGAACATCCTCGTACACTATTGTGTGAAAAATGTTCAGCGTTTTTTTCATTGCCAAAATCTTCGAGCGGATCCGACCACAACAAATCGCACATGGGTCCAAAAGCTGGTGGTTCTTTGAACCTGTCAAGCTGTTGCAATAAAAAATGACACAAACATATTCATTACACGATGTGTTATTGCGCTCAATTCACTGATCTAAAATTAGTTGAGAGCTTTGAAAAGCTCGATGGTATTTATGAATGTGGCGAAACCCCCTGTTTTTATATTGTATGCGAATACTTGAAGAAAAGAGAGACCATTCACGTGAATTTTATTTAAATGTGATATTGAATTGTTTTGAATAATGCTGAAGAATGTTAATACATGCCACGTTCAAGTTAAATCTAAAATAGATTTAGGTTTTTGCTTAAAATTCTTTTAAAAACCGGCTCAGTGATGCAGTAATTTTTAATTTTCGCTCCACTGCAATTGGAAAAAGCTACTTAATTCGTATTATTTAAATAATTATTGATTTTGCGATGCAACCAGATTATTAAAGGTCAATAACAAAAAGAGCACGAATTACGCGTCACGATTACGCGATACTTCAACGGAACGGAAAGAAATAATCCCAGTAGCAGTTTTTCAGAAATAAATTTAAGTTGACCTTGACGAATGATAGGCGAGGTATAATATCTAGGTGCAGATCGCGTCGCAACGATCCACACAAGAATTGCATAAAGTAACTGTGTGTGTGTGTGTGTGTCTGTGTGTGATTGTAGGTGTGCGCCAGTGCTAACCTTGCGAATGTCTTCCAAATTGTGAATTTCCGGCGAAAGGCCACCATGCACACAGAGGAACTGCTGGTTCATGAGAGCAGCGAGCGGCAAACAGTCGAAGGCGTCCATGCACGCGTCGTAAACTCTCTCCGAGTATTTAATTTTACCTGCGCAAAAAAATTATTCAATACATAGTGTAATTGACAGCTCATTCATCGACGAGACAATGGATATGGGTTTCATTATCGACTCGTCGCAACTTGGTTTTCTTCTTCATTTGAGAAAAATATTTTAATATGACTCTCAAAAATAGTTTGCAAGCAATGCCTAGTAGTTTATCAACAAGACACGTTCGTTGAACCGCACGCTGCGTCTTGGGGGTATTATTTTTAAATGCATGACTCGAGCTCGAAACATACTTTATATACACACGCGCACACATTAACATACTGACAGATTTCTCTTTCGTCGTTGAAACAGTCTCCGCCGTACAGAAAAAAAATCGTAAATCTTTAATTAAAGCGACGCATTTCACTGTTTTTGCATTTTAAAATGAAGAGCTGTAGAATTTAGAATATACGTCAAACAATGAGATGGCTTAGCTCAACAGAAATAGACTCGGCGCATTTGTCATCGAAAACAGATCAAATGCATTCGGGTATATTTAGAAAAGTATTTTTGCAGTGTATAAATTATCTTTTTCAAAAAGAAGCTCGTTCGTTCGGTTCGGTAATTGATCGAATTATAAAATGACAGCGAAAGGCTGTATTCATTTTCTATTTCAATAATCAGTCCTGATACGTGTTTCTATTATGCGCGCGGCTTTTACAATCGAATAATGTTCATGAAACTTACATTCTTGCTTAAATGTGAAGTACTCTGTTAGATGCCGACATTCGTGATTGCCTCTGAGAAGAAACAATGTATGGGGATGGCACAGTTTCAATGCCCACAGGTACAATACACACTGTAAAATAAAGAAACATTTTCACCATGTTGAATTTACAATTCTTTGAAAATACTACGTATGAATTTAATGTTTGCAATCGCGTGAATATACTATTAAGCAAGTTTCTTAGATTTTATTTTTTATCCAACTTATCCGTTACACGTAGTCTTGGCTTTTATCAGAAAATAGCACGATGTAAAAGGAATTTTTAAATTTTGAAAAAAAATATCGAGAGATAAGTTCAAGTTATTAATATATAAAACGAAGGTTGACTCTGGCATAGACGAGGTCGCATCTTGTACGGTTTGCAAAGCACGTATGCTCTAAGCAGTTACACATTGCCCTAGAAAAATACGCGAATAATAAAAGATGCATTTGACATTATTTTAGCGTTATAAAGATCACTGTAATCCGATTTCATATTTTTTTTCTGCAAAAACAAAATAATCGTCTTACGTTCAAAGCGATTAAATTTGAAAATCGAAAAAGTCGTGACTTTTTTCATCGAGCATTAAAATTTATTCAGTTTTTATTTCCAATGTATAGTCACAAAACTTTCATTTTAGCTGCACCGCATTTAGCAAACTGTCAAACTATAGGCAATTGTAATTTGTAGTATATGTTAATACTGACCTCGATACTGAAGTAGCCTCTGTCGACGTAGTCACCGAGGAAGAGGTATTTTGTGGTCGAAGGAGGCCCGCCTACCTCGAACAGTTTCATCAAGTCGTAAAACTGCCCGTGAATATCTCCACAGACTGTAAGAAAATACCAAAGACACATTGTAATTATCGCCTTGAGACGCGCCAAGCTCGAGAATCAAGTTCGAGCCTGATAATACGGACTACCGACCTGTGACAGGTGCCTCGATGTCGATCATCGTCTTTTCGGAGCGCAATAGCGCTGCCCCATCATTGATTATTCGCAGCGCCGCTGCTTCGTCTATTCTGCCTTCGAGGATGAAGTGCTGTTTGAGGACGTCCGGCCGGGGCTTGCCCGTCCTCGAGTCGAACACCTCGGAAGCTGTGAGCTTGCGCGATGGTGGAAATGGCACATCTGCAAATAACACAAAACAAATAAACATTTGTTGCGAATTAATTGGCGAAGAGCTAGTTCTCTTGTTCGTATTATATATATATTCGATGCGTGTGTACGACAGTTTTCAGTTTCATATTTTTGTGTGTGCGTGTCTCATCGCGACTTTAATGAGATGTCCGTTTCAATGGCTCATTCAGGCGGCCGGGCGCACCCCCGCGCTCGCAAAGTTATTTGCTCGCGACGAAAAGCACGGCTCGAGCGCTTTCTACGCAGCGCAATTGAAGAGCTTCTCGCTGAAACTCTATTTAAAAATTAACGGCAGACACGCGGATAAATCGAATTTAGAGAAACGCGGCGACTCAGACTCGCGACGGTTGTGTACAAGGATACGATATACAGGTTCATAATTATCATGGAATCAGTTGCTCTTTGGCTGAATAAGCCTTGCAAGTTTGATACACTGCAGGTTCAACAGGTGATTCGAAAGGTAATATTGCCCGAGCGCAGTATTGCCGAGGCCAACAAAAGTCAGTCATATTAAAGCCGAGCAATCGATAACGGCATTGCGACTTTCTTATCGATTAGATATTTATTGTAAAGTTTCTCCAGTAATTGAGGGTAGCTGAATTTTTCTCTACGCGTGCATCAATGTTGATGAGCGCGAAATCGGGTATGCGATTTCTTCTTTTTCATTATTGATGGCTGAAAAACTCTCCGCTTAAGCTGGTTTTTCTCTTTTCAAGAAAAATATTTGTAGCAGCTTAAATTCTGAGAGCATCGTTGCGAAACAAGCATAACAATAGAATTAATTAAAGTACTGTTATGTTCGGTTTATTTGCTACGAGTATAATGCATTGGATACGTGAGCAAATCGCAGCGTTACAAGTTATTTGCCATTACTGTAAAATGTAAATGAATTGTTTTTCTTAAAAACGCATCGGACCGGCGAAGGAAAACAAGAAATTGAAGGGTAAATTTCACGAAAAATGTTTACTATAGCCTCTGAAAATTTTCAATCTGTTGTTGTAAATTTTGCCAGATATATTATAGATACAGTAGCAGCAGCAGCAGCAGCAGTCCGCGCATCCATAATGCAAGTTTTTTGCTGCTACTGCATCGCCATTTTCTCGCAGCACAAGAATATGGAAAATGTGCCAAAGAAAAGAAACAAAAGCAATTAAACAAATGACCCGAAACAAAAAACAAACATCATTTGCCATCATTCAAATCTCTCTCGCTGCAAGCGCGGATCTCGGGAGAGCTAGCGCGCAAAAAAGCTCATTTCCCAAGATCCAGCGGAATAAATGATGCTGCCTGCTCGGCTATACACGTATATACGTAGCCGAAGGCCTGCGTCGTTGTATTCACACAAACATACAAATACACACAGACACACGGCATAGCACAGTTGCTATTGCTGCTACTGCTGTTGAGTGAGATGTTGCTATATAGAATAGCCGAGAGGAAGTCCGAGAACGATAAACCCGAGACTTGTGTGTAGCAGGGCGAATAGCTGTATATGTAGGTATAGCTAGCCACAGCTACATGGGTGCTACATCCACTCGCACACGCCAACAGAGGCAGCCACACACATACGTGCACACGCATCGATAGCAAAGTGAGCGAGTACGCCTCAATGAATTATGGATCCCTTCGGGAAAACTTGCCTTGATACATCACAAGCTAGTCGCTACTGCCGCTGCATTTATGGCTTGTATACACAGATATACATAAAGAGTACGACTAACACGTTGTGCATGGAGCAATGAAGAATCTCATGCGACGCTAAAGTGCGCCTCCGTGTTTTGTATACGAAAGCTGGGCAACTGCGCGGGCTTCGCTATCCTCTATACATGTATAGACGCACACACAACGCACATATCTTCGATGCATTTTTCAACCGTTTTTCCTTTCTTTTTTTCCGCTTCTATCCCGAGCAAAGTTCAAGCAGCCATAGCTCGGGGTATTAAGGCTATTTTTGTGCTATTCCCCGTTTTATTCAACCAGTCTTTTCCGTGAGCGCTACGTGTATAAGTAACGACGCTAATTTCGGAGCAACCCGTTGATGAGTAATTCATTAATCCGAGCCGATCGACTTGGAGAGAAAACCCGCTCGCGCACATCTGCTAAGATGTCACAGTCGCCTAAACGAGAAAAGATTCGTCGTCGGAAAAATTGTAGAAAGAAAAAGACTATCATAAGCTTAATTTACTCGAGGAGGAAAATTTAGTGGGATAGCTCGGTGACTGATGACTCCGGTGTAGCAACGATCCTATAACTATTTCGAACTTCGCTCGAGACTCGTCGACTCGTTGCAACTTGAGATGAGCATGAAAACTCTTGGATATTACATTCGTATCTTAAATTCCCAAAGAGTAATTAAACATTGAAAAAAGCCCGAGCTTAGGTGCACGAAAGTACGCTCGGGCGCGCGTTGAATTTCTATCAAAGTTTGTTCGAGATCGCGTTGTTATTCGGCGACCTTGCCTCTCGTCGTTCGAACAGACATTCGTTTTATTTTCTCTGCTTCACAATGGCGATACACGAGAAAACATGAAAAGAACAAGTTGTTGTCCAATGTTGAAATGCGCGCCATATGTGCATATATTGCGCGTACGAATTGTAACAAGTGGAAATGTATTCGTTTCCGTGATTTATGGAGCGGAATTTTCCACTTTTAGTTTCAAAGGTGTATATTGCGCACGTGCACACGATACGTATGATCTTATTTTCAAGTCGACACCCGATGACCCACAAAGATAATTTTTTCTAAATCATTCCACATTTTTGTTTTAAAATTGTTTTTTGCCGCTGTTTTTATTTTTCATAAAAGAAAAACAAAATGAAGAGTCAAAATTGTAAAATACCGATACACAAGAGCTGCTCGGGCCTCGTCGACTTTCTCAGATGTAGCAATTGTGCGGGTGTTTCAAAACATTCGCTATTAAAGTGCGATATTCAAAGAGTTTCCTTGAAGCAACATTTGGCATCGCTGCGTTAGGCTACGATCGCTATTATAGCGTTGAGACCGGTGTGAAATTATGCAATTGGCGCAAAATCATAAAATAGTTGAAAATTTTAACTTTTGTTAGCATCGAAAAAAATTACGGGAAAAGTCCAAGAAAAAAAATACGTGACTGGTAGGCGTGATTAGTCGACGAGATGTCCCTCAGCGAGGCCAAAGACAGCCACGCGTTGAAAAATCGCTCGAGAACGGCGCGGACGAAAATTCGTCGGTCACACGTACTTGACGAAATAATATAAGTGAATAATAAAAATATTCGCTTTTTGCACTAATAAATATCTTGGCGTCGCGAGCTTTACGATTGCTCGGAGCTATAAAGTTTCGCGCGCTTACAAGCACATGTAAACGTTTACGAGAAAACATATCGAAAGGCGCGCGTGCTCGCCAGTATTATGTGCTTGCGGAGCTCGGAAAATGAAATTCTCGCTCGCGCAGGCAAGTGCACATGCGAGCGCCCACGCGTATACTCGTAATAATGCCGCCCGCTATTCTGCTATTTCTCCAAAGCGCGAGAGACGCGGTATATTATATCGACAAAAGTAATAGCTCCTAGAGGCTGTCACGCAACGAGCAAAAGAGAAAAATTTCGACTCTCTCTCAGACGCTGTGGCACTAAAAACAATTCTCAGCTGTTCCCTGACCGTAATTTATGGATCTCGCTGCGGCTGCTGCTGCTGCGTACACTCGTATACGCTTGTACAACTGTTGGGTACTTTACGAGAGTCTTGAATGCAGAAAAAAAAGAATAATTCATCCGAGATTGGCTTGTCTTGAAAAGCATTTTAAAATTTTCAGTCTTGCACAGTAGAAGAGCTTGCGGGGGGACACCTATGTTCACGTATCATATACATTCACGAAGGCGTCTTACATACAGCGGGAACGAGCTAATTGTCGAAGGTGGCGGCGGTGTATAGCAGTAGCTTTGGAAGATCAAGATAATTCGCGCGCTCGCCACTGGAAAATAATGGCTACAACGTTTTCCCTTATATCTACAACAATTTCGAAGGTAGCACAGGTCAGCAAGTAATTTTCTATTCTTACCTATTTTTGCATTTTTATATTTTATTCGGGCGTTATATTACGCCTAGGTGCTTACGTGCATACGTGCTACATGTGTACGTAACGTATAACATGTGCGCTCGAGTTTGCTCAGGTCGAAAAATCGAAATTCATAATTAAAGCAGCCACTGATCGCATGTGTGGGTGCGCGTATACGTGGGGGTGGAATGGCGATTAGCTCGCGTATCTAGGCTCGCACTCGCATAACGAATAATTGGCTCTAGGTCGAAATGGCTATAATAAGCGAACTAGTCGCATGTATATATATATAATATGCAGCGTAGTGCGCGCATATATCGGACGCAGAAGGTGGTGAGTCTCGCGAAAATTCGTTCGGGCGGCCACGTCCGCTGCTCTAGGTGTGTAAGGTTACATGCAAAATTCGCTCGGTCTCTCGCGCGTATGTAACAATATATAAGGGACGCGCAGAGGGCTGCTCGATCGCAAGCTCTAGGGCAAGGACTGAGGACTCACGGCCGCTTATACATTACCCACGACTCCGATATATACGTTTAATAATATTATTGTGTGCCGTGTAGCAAGTGCAGCTGCTGTCGAACCACAGAACGCATGCAAGCACACGAGCCTAGTCGTGGGTTTTTTTTTATACGCATAACGTACAGGAGCTTTTGCATTTGCGTGTAGTTGCGCACAAAAACACGCACACAGAGAGATTCGTCGACGGCACGAGCAGCTGCAGCAGCAGCAGCAACAACAGCAGAAGGCGTCGCTCGCTACACATTATACATGTATAATATCGATTGTCACGGGGAAACACGCTCTGTTGCTCCCGTTTTGATAAACAATATAATGGTCGGTAAATCAATGCGGCGCGCGCTAGTGCGAGTGAGAGAGAGAGAGAGAGGCACAGAGAGAAGCTATAGTAGCGCCACACGCACGCGATTCCTCCTCCGCCTCCTTCTCCTCTTGCAGC